AAAAAATTTAATGTTAATTCGGTGTCAATTTGATGAATTGAATATTAATGAGATGAAATTGCATGTTACTTTGGTGTTAAATTGATAAATTGAATCTTTATTGTTTAATTTTGAAAGTTAATTCAATGAATTGAATATTAATTGATTGAAATTAAAAGTTAATTTGATTAATTTAATGTAACTAGTTGAATTATGAATTATAATTCAAGTAAATTAAAATTATATTTTGCTACAATTAAAATTTGACCTCATTATAATTTGAGCCAAAAAAATAATCTCACATTTGAATTTTATGCCAAATTTTGATACATAAAAAAAATGTAATAAGATTGGGTTTTCGGTTTTGGGTTCCTAAATTCCATTTCAGGTCGGATTTTCTTTAATAAGATTGGGTTCTTCGGGTTTTTTAAATTTCGTTACAGGATCGCTGCCAAGATCAGTGTAGATCGGTCATGATTTGATCCCAAGATCGGTGTCTTTGATTGCTAGTGTTGATCGCTGATGATCGGTCTTGATTAGATCCGTAGTCTTGATCTGTAAAGAATGGTGGATTGGTCTTGATTAGATCAGTACTCTTGATTACTAAAGAAGGGTGGATCGGTCCTGAAAAGTAGTAACATTACCAAAAAAAGTGGTAATTATACCAAAAAAGTGGTAACCTTACCTATAAAAATTTGGTAATGTTACCCAAAAATTTTTTAACCTTCCCCCAAAACATGGTGACCTTACTCTAGCTCACTTAGCCAAACAAGTGATAACCATAGCTATAAAAGTGATAATACTACCCAAACTAATTGTAACATTTTTTTTTTGTTAAAGTATAAAGCCCTTCACTTAGGGCCTATTCTCTCTCTCTCTTTCTGCAACGAAGACCAGAGCCAAGGGAATCGCTGCTTTGTCGTCGGAGTTTTTCTCTCCACTTTGGCAAATCCAGACAAACCACCACTTCAGTTGTGGTTGTGGGTTTCGGTAGTGTTTTCTATGGTGGTTGTGGGTTTTGGCTGGGTTGTCTTCCATGGTGGTTGTGAGTTTTGGTGGTGCTTTCTGTGTTGATTGTGGGTTGTCTTCTGTGGTGGTTGTGGGTTTCGATTGGGTTGTCTTCAGTGGTTGTGGGTTTTGATTGGGTTATCTTCGGTGGTTGTGGTTTTCGGCTGGATTGTGGGTCTTGATGCACAGTGAAAGCAAGAGAGATAGAGAGTTGAAGCGAGAGGTAGAAATTGTGGATTATTATCCAAACAAATTTTATAATTTTTGTTCTTTAAAATTATTTAAAAAAATATATAACCAAACAGGTTTTACATTCTAAATTTTTTTAAAAACACTTTCTTAAAACTCTTTTCAAAAATAATTTTTAGATACTATTTTTTGAGATGCATACCAATCAGACCCCCAATTATCGAGAGATCACTATCTAAGAGAGAAAATTAATGAGAACAGTCAATTGACTACCATCAAACTTATCGAGATTTCAAAAATAAATTTTAAATGATAATAATCGGTGATTTATATGTAAGAAAAAAAAAGAATTGGAGATAAAAGAGAAACTAATAAAAGGGTGTCTAAATTAAATCGTATGGAAAGAATTTTAAGTTTAAGTATTTGCTAATAATGAATAGTGTACAATTGGGGTCAAAAAATCTATTTTAAAATTGTTGACCGGATGAGACGACAGTGAATATATTAAAATAATGTTCTTTTGGATAGTATTATTCTAATTAAGACTCTTGGATTGATTCTTTGAGAACACATGACGACTTTTCTCATTATTTTTCAAGTCATGATAAAATTAAGGGTAAATTTCATTGACTCCCTCCGAATTTAAGTTATATTTCATTGATATCCTCTCTAATTTTTGAAATATCATTGCATACCCCTGTTAGTTTTTGTTCTCTAATAGAATACAAAATTTTACTAAATTACCCTTATTAGAACTCTCATTTTACTTACCTTATTCAAATTAAACTTATTTTATATGATCAAGGGTAAATTTGGCAATTTATAAGAAAACTAGGGATAACTCATGCCTGAAGGCACAGTGGAACTAAAAAAAATCGAGCATTAAATTTGAACGTGAAATAATCAAGCATTGAACTCGGACACGTACTAAACTGAAAGTCTAAACTCGTTCTACATCACGTGTCTGAAAGCACTGTACATAATTCTTAAACACGAAATAAACTTACATTAAGCTAAAAATCGTTTGGTTATTTTTAATATCATGATTTTAGTGAAATAAAAAAGGTCAAAATATAAATACTCAGTAAAAAATATGGGAGATTATTTACTGGACAAAAAATTAAATCCAACTGGCATGTCTCATATTCTATTCAATCTTTAAAACCATTTAAAATTGAAAATAAAAATGTTCCTAATTTCGTCGCAAGAGTTACAAATACATTAGAATCAGTAACCATATTTTCACAACTGTGACATAAAAAAGTACAGTAGATCTGAGTTAGAAGCAAACCAACTCACCGAAAAGAAACAGATCAATGGATCAAATGCATAAGTCTGGATTGTCCTCAACTCATATGTCTTTTATATTGAATCCTATGAATTTCAATCTCTTCGTTATCGAGGGCCACTTTGCTGCTTTTTACTCCGGGGTATGGTTGACTTAGCAGATGTGCCATGCTTGATTTCAGATCTGGCCCATGCTACAATCACTATAAGTACAAACATTTTGATCCACCGGTTGAAGTCGCTGGAGAAGTGGAAACCTTACACTATGTGGATGGATTTTCAAGGTGAGAAGGACTTGTTATTTGTTCCTTTTTTGATCTGGGTTCTGAAAATCTCTTCTGCTTAAAAACAAATATCTAAGTTCACAATGATTTTAGGATTGACAGTACCTATTTCATACCAGTAATGTTAGACTGACCAAATTTCGGGACCAAATTTAGAGCCAAAATGACATGACAACTGATTATTTAAAATTTTTATTGGGGCCCAAATGACATGACACCAATGAAAGAAGTTCAAATCAACTGCCATGTCATTTGGGCTCCAAATTTGGTCCCAAAATTTGGTCAATGTAGCATTACTCATTTGATACAACATTATAGATCAATCTCGTNGGTTGCCGCTGGCTTGGGAGGGAGAGAACACCCCTTTCTCTGCCTTGGTTGTGTGTTGGAATGGGCAGGTGATTTTTGGGTTGGGTTGGGTTGGGTTGGGCTGGATGTGATGGTTAGGTTTGGTTAAGTTGGGGTTGGATGTGATGGTTGGGTGGGGTTAAGTTGAATGAGATGAATTTAGGAAAAAAATATATGGACTTTTGAATTTGAATGAGATGTATTGTGAGCCTTTGGATGTTGAAGCCTTTGGATGAATGAAGACCATACAATCAGCTTATTGAAGCCCCGCTCTGTTTTATTTGGGTTGGATGTGATGGTTGAGTTGAGTTAAGTTGAATGAGATGGATTTAGGGGGAAAATATATGGACTTTTGAATTTGAATGAGATGTATTGTGAACCTTTGGATGAATGAAGATCGTACGATCGACTTATTGAAGTCTCGCCTGTTTTTATTTGGGTTGGATGTGATAGTTTGATTGAGTTAAGTTGAATGAGATGGATTTAGGGGGAAAATATATGGATTTTTGAATTTNATCGTACGATCGACTTATTGAAGTCTCGCCTGTTTTTATTTGGGTTGGATGTGATAGTTTGATTGAGTTAAGTTGAATGAGATGGATTTAGGGGGAAAATATATGGATTTTTGAATTTGAATGAGATGTATTGTGAGTCTTTGGATGTTGAAGCCTTTAAATGAATGAAAACCGTACGATCGACTTATTAAAACCCCGCTCTATTTTATATTATAGATAAATCGTCACATCACACCAGAGGTAGTTTATGAAACATGTATATAAAGTATAACGGTGTGTAGTGATATTTCAAAAACTAGAGGGGGTGCTAGTAAAATATGATTTAAATTCACAGGATGTCAGTGAGATTTATCCTAAAATTAATAATGCTACGATGAATCATGAAATGATGTGATACCCAAACATATTATGCCTATAAATTCAAATTTTTATCACCAAGTTTCTCTTTTGTCTAAAATTCCGAATTCTGTTGGTGTTGTCCATGGTACCAAAAAAAAAAAAAAAGTTAGCATACCTCCATTTAGAATCCATTAATTAATAAAAAGTATTTATTTATTTCCAGTTGCTCCTGGGATATGGGCATTAACTTAAAAGCGAATATTTCTAATTGAATATAGGCATCACACATGTTAAAATTACCAAATGTATTAATTATATCATGTCTCATGCTAAAATGATAATTAAAATGGATTAATTAAACCACTATCTCTTGGCAACCAATATTCGTAAGTAAACCAACTAGTTAAATTCTAGTTCCATTTCAATTAATTAGTCACGTTAACTTTGTTAGTATAGCATTTCAATTTAACTAGCTCGAGAGAAAATGAAGATGAAACCTTTCTCAACAACCATCGTATGTCAAGTTCTCATCGTGGTGGCATTCATGGTAATTGTGGTGCGTGGCTGCTGCCACCGAGGCTGCGGTGGTGGACACATTCACTCAAGTGCCTCAACTTATTCAAGTTTTGCCATGACCACTTTATTCAAATCTTATTTTGTTGATCGTCTCATCTACATCATCCTCACTTATTTATTGGCGTACGCTACCACCTAACTAGTTTGGGGTTTATTATAATTTGTTTTCCTTTTTCTGTGCATATATAGCACCAACTGTTTCCGGATGATTATGTTCCATATGCTTGTTTCTGGAGCAACTTGATGTATATGGTGATTCATATATAAATATATCTAATATTAGGAATATTTTCATGCACGAGATTTTTAAATTTAAAAGGTCTTCCACATAGTAACACCAAACATTTTTTATTTGTGTTCTCGGGTGTGTGCTTCTTTAATTTAGTTGTATACACCAACTTGGTATTCCAGTGCATACATTAACCGAAATTAAGGCAAATAAGAATCTATCAATGGAAGGGAGGAGGACAAGCCTTCAAGCTTTAACCAGTGGGGGACACCCTTCAACATGTATACCAGGGGCAGTAGGACAACTTGCATAAGGGCAATGATCATCTAACTTCATACCCCACCACGCGGCTCCATTGATACCGTGTCCCTGTAATGTGAAGTAGCAAAGTATGGCCAGGAAAGCAACCCCAGCATCAAGCCCTGCAGATAGAATGTAGTTATGCCTCGCCCACCAACCCTTATACCTCCTATACACGACGAAGTTGAAGAAAATGCCCACAGCCAACCAACAGATGTAGTTTACGGCCCTGGCTGGTGGCCCCGGGGCACTTGACAGAATAATCGGCATGTTTATTAGCTTTATCCATTTCTGCTCTGGAAATTTCCGAGAAAGGAACCAAACAGGCAAAGGTGAAAGAATCCCAAACAGAAAGAAATAATTCATCTTGGAATATATTCCAAGCCTACCAAACATGCGGAGAGGCCCAACAACACCCCATATCACTGATGCGTTGTAGAATACATCATCTCCAGGGCATGTCCACGGGCTTCCTTCAGGCAATTTAGATTTATTGCATATGAATTCCACCGTGGTCAGGAGCCACCAACCTGTTCCAAAGTAGACCGATGATGCAACTAGTGTTCCCACTAATTTAATTACCAAATTATGATCAAGTGTTAGTGTCACTTAAACAATTCCATTCTGCCCCAGTTAGATCAATCAAAAAATGGTAATTAAAAGGAGTTGAAACGGGGGCAGCTAAGCTTAGCGATTACCTGAACAAGGAACATGGATTTTGGGGGGATTTTCATGTAGTGACCTAGCTTAAAATCGGAGAGAAACGTAATGGCTTGTGACATGCTTATGTAACCATAGGTTTTGAAGGCCACATTGGCAAGCGGTTTGCCCGGATACATGTAACCAATAATCAGCTCGGTGATGACATTTAATCCTGGTTGCTGTACAAATATTTCACAATCTGATCAAGTAATAGAAGGAAAAAAAAGTCACTAAAAAACCTTGTGATACATACCTGGTTTGTCGTAGCGGTAATCACACCAATTGGAAGGGTGAAGAACAGAGCCAAAACAATTGCCAATAGGACTCCCCAGTAAGGAAGCTATAATTGTCTGCCAAATCCTTCACAGGCAAGCAATGCCAGTCCAATTACCACTATCAAGATTGTGTGAAACCACCACTGAGGGACAGGATCATAGTTTTTCTTCATTAGTCTAGTGTGGACATCACCAAAACTGTCTTGCACAGATGCCTTTGATTGTCGCCAAATTGTTCTGAAATTGACAAACCAGGATAACCAGAATTACACATCCAGCCCGTGTTTACACTAATCTGTAGAAAATAAATGCAAGCGAGAACAAGAAATATACCTCCCATGGAAGAGTGCAACATGAGAGATTGTGGCGGCCAATGTTGCAAAGCTTACCCCATAGGCAAATACAAATGCGATGCTCAAATTAACCTTGCTATAATCATCATATCCTTGCTGAATGAATTGGAAGGTTGTCTCATTTAAAATAATTGAAACATTGTATGATCCTCCATCAGCATCGAACACATCTGTAGAGTAAATTGGGAATCGTTTGGCTCCGTACAGGTTGCTCCAGTAGGCAATTGGGATCATAATGTAGAGAACTATAATAAAACTAGCCAGGACATTCATGATAGCAAATCCAGGGGTGGCTAAGGGACTTCCCAAGAATGCTGATACGGTTGCCCAATCAAGAGCAAATCAGCCAACACCGAGGCCAGCGAGACCATAACCAATTTGATGTGCTGTGACAGAGTCCTTCCATATCCAACAGACAAAGGAGAGAGCAGTTACAGATTGAAACAGAAAGTTAGGCACGATGTAGTATGAGAAGCTTGATATAAGGACCACAAGGAAGAACTGCAGTCTCGTCAGGCCTCCTTTTGGCCTATTCTCATCCTCATGCAAAGCCCTAAAAGTTCAAAATAGAGTTTGAGCAGGAACACACACACACACACGAAGAAGGAGAGGGAGGGAGAGAGAGATCACCTAAAGAGAGAAACCTGAACCATATTGGAAGGCCACCACATGTATGGTGAATCAACTAGGAACTTCCGGAAAATACCAGCCCAGCCATATCCAAGCAACTATATATTCCAGCAATTAAGAACCATCAGAGAAAACAAAGAAAAAAAAAAAAAGAACGGAGAATATTCGGAAAGTTTGAGGCAAGATACAATTTTCATTGAATATAACACGTCCTCTTATAGACAGTTTCACAATGAACATGGGCACGGATGATAAATATTGACAGTAATATAAGTGTTGGTTACAAATACAAGCAAGTATAAATAAATTGAGTAGACTAGATAAGTTGGACCGAAATAAATGAACCTGAGTAGTCTGCGTTAGTAACATCGCTGCCACAGCATTAATCTTCCGCTTATAGAATGCCTTCACGATTGTAATAATGCCCGATGCGTAAACAGGACTTGAGCCTGAATTAGCAAATATGGTGATCAGAACATGCTCTTTCAAGTTGAAAGGCCCCGGATTTAACGAAAAGGACCATTTGGTTCCGGGAATGCGTATTGATTTGTTGGGCAGATATGCAGCCATAAGCTTTCCAATGGGAAGTACCACAATTTGGGCTGAAACAGAGGACACATATAGTGGATTCTGGCGATAACCAAAGAATTGGTTCAAGAACGCCAGAAGAGCGCAAGAAGTGAGCCCCAGAACCCATGTCCGGAAGGTCAAGCATGGTAACGATGGATCATCCGTAATTGGGACTGTGAGTCGGACTTGCTCAATTGGAGAATCATTCACCTCATCTGCAGAAAACTTTGTTTCAGCAGTATATATACCAACCAGGTTCTCATGAACATGGATCATAAAAACTTGCTGTTTAAGATGGAAAAAAGAAAGCGCACGTAAAAAGAAAGGGTGTATGCATTGATGATAATGACAAAGATCAAAGGGTGTTTAAAATCCAACTGCTTAATTAATGGCCATTTTGGACGTGTAATAATAGAGAATAATGGTTGGGAGTCACAAGGATGAGAAGTAGGGGTGTCAAAGTGTTGGATTAAATGGATGACCGTTGAAAAACATGTAAACTCAAACATGACAAGTTTAATAAATAGATAAAAAATCTCAACATAAATATGAATCATTTAATAAATTGGTAATATGACACGACTCGTTTAATCCGAAGTGGGGGCGGGGGTATAGTCTCCATCTCCGTACCTGTTTAAAAAAATTCCGTCTATTCTCGCTCCACTTCTGTTAACGGGTATAATTTTTATCTCCATGCTTGTCTGAGGATAAATTTGTAATCCTCACTCCCGTCCCATTCCCCCGCCTTAACCCTTGCCCCCGTCCACCTTACCCGTCCCAGCCCAAGCTCAAGCCCAAACCCAAGCTAAGCTCAAGCTCAAGTTTAAGCCAACATAATCCAAAATTTTAAATAAATCTAACATTCTAAATAATCCAACATAATTATAAAATATCATAACATAATTCAAGGTTTAACATTTACAGCATAATCCAACATAATATAATTAAAACTTTATTTACAATATAATTCAACATAATATAATTAAAATTCTATCTCCCATGTAAATCCAATGCATCATGCAACATAATATAATATAACATAACATAATCCAACATAAAAAAAAAATATAAAAACACAAAAATCTACACTTTTACAAGTCAAAAACATGAAAAAATAAATTAAAAAATAAATAGTTTTTTTTTAAAAAATTATTTAATAATATGTATATTTTATTCATAGCAATATGTATATATATAAAATAAAAATAATAATAACGGGTAAAGCGGGGCGAGAAAGGGATAAGTGTCGGTCTATCCCCGCCTTCATCCTCGCACGGGTTTATATGGGTATGCTCGTATGCGTCTACCGTCTAATACGTATAGTTTATTTTCGATCCAAACGAAACGGATTTGGATGAATAAGCATTTGTATTGAAGTTTGACAGACCTAATACGAAGCATATCAAACATAAATGAAAACGTAGTAAAGATATAAAGCAGCTCCAAAAGAGACAAAAATCTTCTGTATCTATCTATATTGGAAAACTTTTCATTGGTGTTTCTTCTTTCCATCATTGGAATAAAGTAGAAGAGGGTGAATGAAGCTCACCAGATGGTTCAGACGTGAGTTTGTCCAGAGCAGGCTTCTTGGGCTCAGATGACACTGGAGTTGTATTGCTCTCCGAATGCTCCATGTTTCACACACAACACAAGTGCACGAAAAAGATCCGAATCTGTATGCTATTACTACCACTATAGTCTATATATATTTATAATAAGAAGTTGGGAACAGAATTCTTTAACGTACGGAGATTCCAATCTGTATTCTTTTCACCACCTTTCATTTTCGCCCGTTTCATTCTTTTAACCTTCTTGTTTGGTTTGCCCTTTCCGTCACTAAAGTGGGTCCAGAGAGAAACGAATGTCAATTACAACTCATTCTTGTGATATATCAAGAAAGTATATAGACAGAGAGAAGCAATGGTTGGAATCGCCGTCAACATTTAGTAAACATTGGAACATAATTAAAGAACATAATTTAGAGACATAATGAGTTGTCACCAATGAAATGATAGTGAAATGTATTTGATGATAGGTTTCATTGTAGTATTAATGAATTCATTATCATATCATTTGTGATAACTCATTATGTCTTCAAATTATATTCATAAATTATATCCCAATAACATTGCTCTTTAGTAAATACAAGAAGGCCAACACTAACTACAGAATGACAACGGAAATAATATTTTTTACTCATTGCATTTATTAATTTTGGAAAAAAAACCAGGAAGTTGTACATATTTTTTTCACATTAAATGTAAAATTGCATTTCTTCCTCGCACTAGTCGGTATTTTAAATGTCATATTTTCTGTGCCTATATAACTCGGTATTTTTTTTCACAACAAAATATGAACCACGGAAGCCAAATGACATCCAGTTTAGTCTTTATTAAGGGGATTAAAGGAAATAGATTAGGCGTAGATCTAATGTTATGAAACCCAAGTGAATCTCGTGCATGTCTCGCACCCATTAGGCAACATTGCAACCTTGAAAACTGAACATTTTTACTCACCGGAGACGCTGGTGTGCTTTGCAATTGCTGAAAGAAATGTGGTAATTGGTTCATAAAGTGATTAAATATTTGGCACCTAATTTATTATTTAATTTAATTACACATATAATTCATATTTTTTATATTATTTAAATTTGTTTACGTCCAATGCACGCCGTGCCTTTACTAGTGTATATATATATATATATGTATGTTAGGCTTTAATTGAATATGTTGTCCCATTCTTTAAAAAAAAAAAAAAGATTACAACTGGCTTGTTACTCCACGTTCGTGATTATGTTTTTTAGTTTCTGTTTGGATTGAAGGAACAAAAAAATTGAGGCAAATATATTAGGAAAGTTGTGATTCTTCCTATGTTAAAACTAATACATATCGGGTGGACTGCTGTGATTCTTCCATCATTAATCTCCAAGTTCACTGTTTCCAAAGTTGAGACATAAACTTTTATTAGGAATCATTAGTAATTTGGGTCCCAGAGCAAACAAATTAATCAAGGACAAGAGTCCCAGAGCAAGCAACCTAGATAGGATAGCAGCAGTACGCAACAATTGATCACATATACCACCATTTGTGTTTCGAAATGAGTTGCAGAGCTAGTGAGCATGTGTGAAGCAGAACCCTTAGTCAAATATCATCACAAGTTAGCTGGAAACAGCTGCTGTTTGAGGATCAATTCTTTGTCCAGCTATTCAGGATTTCACCCTATACCTTCTCTTTTTCTAGAGGGTCTCCTCAGCCTTCTTAAGGTGAGTCTCGGCAAAACTTCCTCAAACAAGGGAGCACATAAACAGTAGAAAACGAATATATGGCATCTCTACTAAATTTAAACTAGATCTATATGCCACAAAAAACCTGGCTTTCTGGGAATTTTTTCCTTTGGATCACTTTAATGGAGAAAAAGGGAACACCTAGGCAGTGCCTGATGTTGGAAATATTAGCATTATACACAAACTGTTGGAGATCCAGGCCAGAAAATCGCATCTAACATGATATATAAACAGAGAGGAATATTTTATCTCTCTCAAGAAATAAATTCAAGAATTTTTCACAAGAAAACTCTCAAGACCTCTATGGGATCTCTCTCTTTCTCCCTCTCTCTCACTATTTTGTGAAATGATTTTGACTTTCATTAGGCCCTCTATTTATTGGGACTTTGTAGCCAAAAAAAAAGTGGGCTTCCAAAAATTCTAGTTGGCAAAAACTCTAGCAGAAAAATTTCCGGCAACGATCTTTTCGGCGACAACTTTTCCGGCGAAAGCTTCGGGATAAGGCTTTTGGATCCTTCAATTCTCCCCCTCCAAAACCATTAGAAGAGAATGTATTCAGACATTCATCCCAACTATATATCTGCACAACTCAAGCTTCTGCTGAGTAACCACCTTTGTCAACATGTCTGCTGGATTCTCCTTTGTGTGGATTTTCACTAATTTCAACAATTGTTGCTTCATCACCTCACATATCCAATGATAACAAATATCCATATGCTTCATCCAGGAATGGTACATTGAGTTCTTGCTCAAGTCCAAAGCACTCTGACTATCACAATGTACCTTGTATTCCTTCTGTTTAATACCTAGTTCTTGGAAAAACTACTTTAAGCACAATATTTCCTTACCAGCTTTTGCTGCAGCAATATACTCTACCTCTGTCATGGATAAAGCTATGCACTTCTGCAACATTGACTGCCATGACACAGCTCCCCCTATAAAAGTGTAGAGAAAACCTAATGTAAATTTTCTACCATCAAGATCTCTTGCCATATTTGTTTTTGTATAGCTTTCCAAAACTAGTTCTCCTCCCTCGTAATACAAACATAAATTTGATGTACCCTTAAAGTATCTGAGAATCCACTTGACTATTTCCCAATGTTCCTTCACTGGATTGGAAAGAAATCTGCTTACCATGTCCATTGCATAGGCAATTTCTGGCCTTATACACATCATTACGTATATTAGACTCCCAACTACTAAAGAGTATGGAACCGTTGTCATATCTTCTATCTCCTTCTTCGATGAGGGACATTAATTCTTACTCAACTTGAAATGATTAGCTAGTGGAATGCTCACTAGCTTGGCAGTATCCATGTTGAACCTCTGGATCACCCGTTCAACGTATTTCTCCTATGATAGCCACAATTTCTTGGTCTTTCTTTCACGAGCAATCTATATGCCTAGTATCTATTGAGTTGGCCATAAGTATTTCATGTCAAAGGACTTGGACAATTCCTTTTTTTAACTGATTAATCTTTGTTGCATCCTTTCTGACGATTAGCATGTCGTCAACATAAAGTAGGAGTGCAACAAAATTGCCATCCAAGAATCTCTGAACATAAACACACTGATCTATAGTAGTCCTCTTGTATCCTTGACCTACCATGAATGAGTCAAACTCAACTTGCAGACCATATTTTCCTTTCCTGGAACTTCGAAACCTTTCGGTTGTTCCGTATAGATTTCTTCATTTAGATCTCCATGAAGAAATGTTGTTTTCATGTCCATTTGTTCAAGCTCAAAGTTTAAACTGGCTTCTAGTCTGAGAATGACTCGAATTGAGGACATCTTAACAACTAGTGAGAAAATCTCATTAAAGTCGATCCCTTTCTTTTGTTGGAATCCTTTAACGACCAATCAAGCCTTATACTTCACCAGTTTTTTGCTGCTATCTTTCTTCAGTTGAACACTCATTTATTCCTCAATGCTTTCTTGCCTTTTGAAAGCTTCACCAGCTCATAAGTTTGATTTTTCTGCAAGGAATCCATCTCATCCTACATAGATTGCATCCACTTGTCTTTATCCGTAAGAGCTTGTGCTTTTTGGAAGCTCTCTCGCTCCCCCTCATCAAGAAATAGAATATAGTCTGAATTCGGATTTCCACTCGATGAAATATATCATCTTTCAGATCTTCGTGATTCAGGCTCGTCTGTTGTATGAGGTATACCATCATCTGATTGATGTTATGGTCTTGTAGCATCTGGTAGAGGGGGTTGCAGTTTCCCTGCTCAACACCTTCTTCATTATGGTCTGGAACAGTGTCATGTGCATTGGAACTAGAACTATTAGACTTTGTGGGATTTTCAAAGTCCTTGTATACCTTGTTTTCATAGAACACCACGTCCCTGCTCCTGATGATCTTTTTATCCTTTGGGTCCCATAATTTATATCCAAATTCTTCATCTCTGTAGCCTATAAAGATGCACAGAGTGGTCTTGACATCAAGCTTCTACCTCTGCTCCTTGGATACATGTTCAAATGCCTTGCACCCAAATATTCTCTAGTGAAAATAGGAGGGATTCTTACCAGACCACACCTTCTTTGGAATATCAAAATTCAACAGTACTGACGGTGATCTGTTTATCAAATAACAAGCAACACGAACAACTTCACCCCAGAATGGCTTCGGCAGCTTTGCCATACTGAGCATGCATCGAACTCTTTCTACAATGGTTCAATTTATCCTCTCCATTAGACCATTATGTTGTGGGGTACATGGAACTGTCTTTTCATGTCTGATACCATAATTACCACAGTATTTTTTGAACTCTCTAGAAGTGTATTCGCCTCCATTGTTTGTTCGACAGCTTCTTTCCCATTTCCCGCTCTACCATGGCATGGAAACTTTTGAAGCATTCGAGTACTTGGTCCTTTGTCTTTAGGAAGTATACCCACACTTTCTGTGAAGCATCATCAATAAAGGTTAGAAAATATCTATTTTCGCCTAATGATTCTACCTCTAAGGGACCGCAAACATCAAAGTATAACAGGCATAACAACTTTGATCTCCTCTTCATAGAGGAACTGAATGAGACTCGATGGTGTTTACCAAACAAGAAATGTTCACAAGGATTAAGAGCAATCTAATGTAGTACTTGTGCATTCTACAATGGTAGTGACTGTATAACTTAGCAAAATTTTTGTCAATGAATTCCGCAGCAAGACCAAATTCACCATATCCCAACAATGTTAAACTTAGTTTGCATGAAAAATTAGTGTATCATTTCAAGAAAAAATAAATATATATGTTAACTACAAACATAAAAAAAATATTTAATTACCAAGGGTTATACAATGATAGGGGCTTATTTTTCAACAAGTAACTTATGCCATTGGGTCACATTTCTG